CCATGTTACCCTGCCCTTTAATCCTTACCCATAGGCTCTCACCTTGCTCTTCATCCACCCTTAGGCAGAGCTCCACACATTCCAGTTGCTCCCTCACATAAAGAGCAACTCCACCACCTCGCCTTCCTGGCCTGTCTTTCCTAAAAAGCACATAGCCATCCATGACAGCATCCCAGTCATGCGAGCTATCCCACCATGTCTCTGTAACCACAATGAGACCATGGCTCTGCGACCGCACACAGATCTCTAACTCTTCCTGTTTATTCCCCATGCTGTGTGCATCAGTGTACAGGCATTTCAGAGAGCCAGTCAAGCATGCAAGCTTCCCAGGAGAGGTGCAAGAGGATCCTCCATAGCCATGTCCTATGCTATCTCCCCTGGCTGCATGCACCCACTGGAGGCATCTTGGCTCAAGTGGCATTTTACTGATTACCCTGTCCCCCATCTTTCCTAGTTTAAAGCCCTCCTTACTAGGCTGGCCAACCTGTGGCAAAGACACATGTGTCCCACTTAGTGAGGTGGATCCCATCTCTTCCCATCAGTTCTTGATCTTCAAACAGGGTCCCACGGTCATAGAAACCAAAATGGACTATGGAGTGCTCTCAGGTCCGGAACAGTCCTGCACTTGTTTAAGGCAGTGTTCGAAAGGGGGCTCAGATTAGCTCAGAAGGGTAGTTGCCTCTGCTGCAGAATTGGAGGAGAGAGAGGACAGCTAGAAGCAGTAAAGCCTTAAAGCTGCTTCAGCCAGATTAATCAGTGACTGTAAGAGACTTACACTTTTAATATCTTACAGTGTTAATATCCATTAGTAGTAGCACTCAGTAATGAAATATGGCTATCTTATGTAGTGGTTAGAAACCTTTTGGATAGCATCCTCAGCTCCTTCTTGTACTTGCAGATTATGAAATATAAGATGCAGAAGCCATCACAGGGGACCCAAGATGCCATCAGGCACATGCCTTAACAGAAAGGCATGACTCCTGATTGCTTTTAGGTTTTTGCTCATGCTGTTATCAGCTTTCCTTTAGCCATGTGCTGGTCAGGTTATGTTAGGCATATGTAAACATCACACTCTTGAGGTAAAGGTGTGTTCCTACTTTGTGAATCCCAATAAAAAGCATATAAAATATAAGCAAAAAGTGGCTTTTTGTTGTCAAGAGTAAAGCGCCTAAGAGCTTGTCCACAGTGAGATTTAGTGCCTACAAGGAACTTGAAAATATTTTACTCTCTATGGCTTTTACCTGCTGTCAGGTCAGACAACAAGAGAGTAAGGATTTTGAACACTGACAAATTACATTTTTGATTTGTGCCAGATGTAGGTATCTCAAGTCCACCTGTGTCTTGAGCCCCATATCAAAATACAGGTCAAAATTAACTGAATTCGTGCATATTTGGTGTATAAATATATATATATATATATTCATACATATTTCGTACAGCTCTGTGGAGAAGGACCTGGGAGTCCTGCTGGACAAGATAAGCATGAGCCAGCAGTGTGCCCTGGTGGCCAAGAAGGCCAACAGGCTGCATTAGGCAGAGTGTTGCCTCCCCAGTACAAGAGAGACGTGGCACTCCTGGAGAGAGTCCAGCGGAGGGCTACCAAGATGATTAGAGGCCTGGAGCACCTCTCCTATGAAGAAAGACTGCGAGAGCTGGGCCTGTTCAGCCTGGAGAAGAGAAGACTGAGAGGGGATCTCATCAATATCTACAAGTATCTGAAGGGGGAGTGTCAAGAGGATGAGGCCAGCCTCTTCTCTGTGGTGACCAGCAACAGGACAAGAGGCAACGGGCCGAAACTGAACCACAGGAAGTTCCATCTGAACCTGAGAAAAAACTTCTTCACTGTGAGGGTGACTGAGCATTGGAACAGGTTGCCCAGAGAGGTAGTGGAGTCTCCTTCGCTGGAGATATTCAAAACCCGTCTGGATGTGATCCTGGGCAACATGCTCTAGAGGTCCCTGCTGGAGCAGGAAGGTTGGACTAGATGATCTCCAGAGGTCCCTTTTAACCTTGGCCATTCTGTGATTCTGTGATACTCCAAAGAAAATTGCCTTCAGGAAAGGACTGATAGTGCTTCAATCCCAGAACACACTATGGCAGACTCTTAAACTCAAAATTTTTTTAGCAGCATCTTCAGTGCGCACACAGCACTGCTCAGATCATTTCCTACCAGCTACTGATGAAAGCAAGGCTCACAGCTCTGTTTGGGACTCTATGTGAGTGCAGGGAGAGGCTACTGCAGCTGTATTTACTATCTAAGCAGCTAGTGCCTTTTTTACTCTGATCTACTGCAATGCTGGGATGGTACTATATCTGCATCACTGAATGGTCCAAACACCCATTCAAAATGGTCTGCAGAATGGTTTGAAAATCCAGCCAGCATTTCTTAAGATGTGAGCATGAATTCCCTTAAACAATAGAGGAACTGAATCCGTATTTCTAACATCCTATTTGAGTGCACTGGCCATTTGGACAAGGGGGTGAAAAGAACCTATACGCCTGTCTTGTTTTAACTTTACCTGATATAGGAGAGTGTACTTCCTCTCTTTTATCTTTTGCTTCATTATAAGTATTTTGCTTAGTTAAGCAAATATCTGCTTTCATAGCACATACACACAACATGGGCAAGAGTCAAAAATGCTACTTTTTTTTCTTACTTTATACCTTGCTTTCTAACTCTGCAAAGTGATCTTTCACTGGAACTTGGGGAGTACAATTTCCTGTTTCTTTGTGAGAGATTCTACTGCTCCTTAACGCTCTTCAGAGTTGGAGTCTGTAAATCTATTAGATTTCACTCACCAGGGCTGGAAGAATAACTGGCATCAGCAGCCATTTATTCCCTTTATGGACCAGCACTGAAAGAGGACTGAGACATTATTTGCGTGGAGGCTGAATGACAACTGAGAAACACTGAGAAACGGATCTTGGGTTCCACTCCAGAATCTGGACAGCCCTTTTGGTTGTTTGTCGCAGTGTCAGGTTGTTTTAGACCATGACACTTCTGTCCTAACCCTGTTCTCATGGGGAACTTGGCTTAGTAGATCCTTCAGCTTCCCCTTCCCTCACTGAAAACATTTCCTTCCCCATTCCCTTCTTTCAGTCTCTTTGCCGAGTCCACTGCTGTTCCATCCCCATTCCTCATATGGTCTTAATACTCCCTCTCTTCCACTTCACTTAATGGCTTTCAGTCTCAGCTCCAGATTAGCCTCCCTTTCAGTTTCTCCGTATATTCCTTCTATCCCAGTTTACTCTTTTTTTTTCATCCCAGTTCAGCTTTTATCATCATTGCAACGAACAGGCTATACCTATACAAGTAAACTAAACTGCCAGGTGTCCCACAGCTGCCTATGCTTGTTACCACGCTCTCAAAACATTTTTCAGGCACAGTCTGGGAGTCAGTACAGGTCAAGGACTATTTCAAAGAGACAGTTTGGTTGTGGCAAAGGAGAGAGGGGAGACGTAGTCATCTGGATGTGAGCTCTGCTGACTTCAGGGACAGGGAACAGACCCTGGACTACGAAGCTATATAGTGAGCTTTATTCATGGCTCAAATTCCTGGAAAGCATAAGAGATGTCCTTTTCAACAAGTTCTAGTGTCCAACACAAAAAAGCTAAAAGATAGCAAGTCTAGCATTACCTCCGCATCTCTGAGCTGGAAGATATCAAATATTTTGTGGGAATGACATATGTACAGGAGTTGTTAAAGGAGATAGCTCACTAACAAGAGAGTTACTGGAGAATTTATCTGCCAAGTTTTAGAAAGACTTTGTAGAAAACACACGACTTTTTTTTTTTTTTAATATTAATTACCCTAGCACTTCATTTCCAAGCTTTGGCATCCTGTTCAAAAGCATCCATTCTAAAATAATAGGTCATCAGAGGTTTACTTATCATGGGGAAAATGATGCATCACTTAAGTCTCATCATTTGAAATAGGTGAACTATTTCAGTCAAAATTTCAAAGTACAGTTTTAATGTAAAAAATTAGGAAAATTTAAGGAAACTGCTCCCGAGAACTGGCTGCCAACTTAATTATAGACACAGCTATCACTCTCCAAGTCTGCTCAGATCAGTTCACTTTACCTGAACTGAGAAGCTGGTATTTTATTCCAGCAATGGCAACAAGGAGTCAGGTGACTGATTCTGCAAAAGTGACAAAGATGTATGTGGAGTAGGTAGAATATAAAATAGAATGAAACCTGCAAAATAAACTGAATATATTTTTTGGAAATTTATTCCAACACTTTGATTTATAGAAAACTGAGGTAATCTTAATAGAAACAACACCCACTATTGTGTAACACCATTGGCAGAATGAAGAAGAGAAATTACCAATTAAAAATATGTGAAGGTAAAACTGTACCCATTCCATGCTTTAAACACGTTCAAGTTTGTATATGCTTCCAAAAGAAAGACGATGTTAGTTTGTTGGCAGTCCATAACTATACGGTTTTGAAAGCATTATTAAAAGTTGCATTCTGTAATAGGGTATGACATTACTAAAGAAAAGATCTTTTTCCCCCCTCTGATCTCATTTGAAGCATGAGAACTTCAAATTGGCATTGCTAATACACAGGCCCCCAATATACGTTGGGTCTTGCTGTCGTATGCTCTGAATTACCTCTACATACCGTTTTACTACAGATTTAGAGATGCCAGCGACTCCTAGCCTTGAACATACAGTATTCATTAGTATGTAAGAAACAAATCTATTTATAAAAGACAACATTTTAAAATGAAATGTGCTTTCTCTTGGAACTTCTACAGTCAGTAGGGACAATCTAAAGTTTGATCTCAGACAAACAATTTCAGCTTCAGACAAGAACATTTGGAATGTCAAGAGACTACTGCAAGTTCTTAGAACAGCCTTATGAACATTACTTTTATAACTCAGTAAAATCGATTAATGTTTCCCGTAACATTGAATCTAAATATGCATCAGCATGAAGCATGATTGATCATTCCAAGTTGTGATATGGCTGTATATTTCCAGATACTACAGAAACAAATGGTCGTGGCCTTTTACAACAGACAGAATATTGCACCTTGTAGAATACAGTGCCTTTTTTCAACACGTGCAAATTCTACTAGCAGGAATTCCGAATGTATGATGAGACAAAAGCAGATGTATTTATTTATGTGGGTGAATTTATGCAAGACCCGTTAAAGCTACTATTCAATATAATAAAAACCTGATTACCAGATAAAGAAAATCTTTCGAGAAACACTTTTTTCTTTTCTGAACATTATACAAGTTCCCCATTGACAATCTTATAAAACATATACGTGTTGCAGAAATGACACATACAACAGGAGCAATGAAGAATTACCTCAAGCTTTCATCACCATTTTGCTTCATTGAAACTGTTCTCATGTTCCATTAAGTATAATAATACATTTGGAGAATGTAAATAACCTAATTATATTTTCTTGTTTCAAGCTGCCAGGCACCAGTCATATATCGCAGTCGTATAAAAAGAAGATCCCTGCCCATCTGCAGCCAGCTCCAAAAGGGAACTAGCTTAGAACCTATGATTAATAAAGAAAATCAGAAGGACATTGTTAGATAAAATGAACATTGGCAAGGCATACATTTAACTAGTCATGAACCTCTGCATTCTGAGCACATTCAGCTTAGATCTTAATTTTAATAAAAATTTATATAGCAAATATTTATATTGCCTTATAGTAATTACACTATACAATGAGTGGGAGATTCTAGTTTGGAAGCAGCACAGCACAGTAACTCAACACACGCCACAGGACCTAAACGGTCTTCTCTGCTGGACAAGGTTTTGTTCAGGTAAATAGGAACCTGAACACTAACAGTTATGCAAATAGTTTCTGAGTGACTTGGGAGACTTACAGCAACAGCACGAATGCACCAGTCTTTGGGTAATGTAAAGAACCCAGACTATTAAATTAATTTCTTGTCCATCTCTGCTAGCATTCACGCCAGGTGCAATACACATGTGGAACTGCACTGAAAGGAAGCATTCTCTTTTCTAGCAAAGTTGGCTGAGGATGTTCTCTACCTGCTTGCTTGCTCCTGTTCCTCCCACCCTTCATCACTGTTGCCGTTCATTATACTTTTAGTTGTTCAGTGATTGTGTTGCAGAGAAGAAATCTAAGTTAAAAAAATTAAGTGAAAAAAAAAAAGGAACCACACTTGATGGGAGGGAATAAATGAGCTGAATAAATGAAGCAGGCAGCTGGAGACAAGTACCTCTTCAGCTTGCTTTGCTACTAAGACAGACGTACAAAGCTACGCTTTCTAGTACGCCAGTAGCAGAGACCTTCAAGTTGGAAAGAGCAACAAATCTTAGGAAGAGAGGGTGCCCTAGAGGAGGCCCTAATAGGCACGATGGGCGTTTTGGAAGGTAGGAGAAGGAGAAGCAGAGCCAAAACAATAAACAAAGATGGTTATGCTTCCTGCACACAGGTCTTCTAGTTCCAGTATTTTTATTAAGACATTACAGCAAGAGGATATGCCAATGAAGTACTGCTTTGCCCTAGCAGTATAATCACCCACATTTGTCTCCAGGGGGAATCCTTGCTACTCCTCCTGTGCCTATGGTCCCATGCCTTGTCCAGAAGGCTGGTAAGGACACAAAATTGGACAGGCTGAAAAGGCTGGATAAAATTTGACTTGCTCTGGAGAGATGCTTGGATATTTTATTCTGCATTGACATTCACGGGATTTTATAAAATGTAACCAATTTAATTACCTTCAATTTCAGTCCAGTTGACAGCAACTTCTGCTATAGGTATTCTCAAGCGCTGAGCTATATAAAGAAGTTCCACATCAAATGCCCTGAAGTAGAACAGGAAATAACAAATAGTGATATTTATTTTCAGAAGAAAGATGGTAGCACTGTTAATTAAATCTCTAGCCTGATATAATTTAAAAAGCTTGGTGTGCAGTTATAAAGTTGATACCAACGCTCTAAAGGTCAGATGTACATGAATGGGAAATTAGTTATATGACTGAATGACACAGAAAATAGCCAACATACCTACAACAATACTTCACTGCCTCCTGTTTTTAAAAGGTATATGTTATGCAGTGCTCAGACCACCATTCACTTTCCATTTTGTCACAACCATGACTGAGAAATTTTTTAAAGATCGAGGCAGTCTAGTGTGCAATGTCAATCTGTATCTCTAGAACTTTCATCAAAGGGGACTACCTGCTGTGTCTTTACGCTGGTTTAATGCGTTCTCCTTGTTTCCTCTAAGTCAAGAGTAAAGGCAGCAGCACCAAAGTGATCTGAGAAGGTACTGTGCGGTAACAGAGCATGAACAACAGTTGCACTTTAGCTGATGACCACCTAACATATAACACACAAGCTCTTTTGAGAGAGAGGACCCAAACCTCTCTTCTCAAAGCAAATACTTTAACAACTGGACTTCACAGTCCATTCTCTTTCGCTTGCCAGTGAGTTTTGAAGATACTGCCACATAGCTAAACTTCATCAGAGAAGGGGCTTCATTCCCCTTCAGAATTCGAGCTATCATTGTGGATATGGTACCCTCCAGGAAAGCAGGAGATGTGAATTTGAATTTCCTTAAGGTAAGAAGGGACAGACTATATACCTTCCATTTTACTGTTAAAGCATTAGTTCTGCATGTACATGAGTGCATCCAGACTCTATTTGCTGTGGCAGGGAATATGTTCTGATACAGTCAAAATCTAAGCAAAACCGGCTTGACACCTTGTAATAAAAAATCCCTAGAAAATCAGGTAGAGCTAATACGGGAACCTGCCTGTGTACTCTTGTAGCTAACAGTGCTATGAAAAATGTCTCCCTTTGGAAGTCAGAGTAGCTGAATGTTCCCATGTGGGATCAGTATTGCATAAAAAGGATGCACTATTAGCGCTAAAAATGCCAGGGATCTAAGACAGAAAGTTTCATGCTTAGAGTACCAGACACACTTAGATTGCAGTTTGAAGTTTAAATAAAAAAAAGACAGGTAGAATCTCCAACGCACACAGCTTCTCCAACACATTTCACATTAACTCAGGTCTCACCAAGGATCTAATATCATAGTGTGACATGAATTTATTTCACTAGCAAAGCTGGTGTAAGCAGCCCTGAACTTCCTTCATCCGTTCTTTCCGCTGCTTTGACCTCTCGTTTTTATTGGCAGAACTGTAGGCTGCACAGCATCATCAATTGGGGAAGTGATCCTATTCTGTCAGCCAAGCTCCACTCTCCCCCACACAATAATTTGTCAAAATATGCTTTAATTCTCTCCGTTCTCTGCATAGAGAATTGTCATTCCATTCTTTCAACTGAATGCTCAAGTAGGCCTTTTGGACCTGAGGCACTAAGACTTTTGATGTTACAAAAGTTCTTTAGCAACCACAGCTTGTATTCTTCACACGGAAATCAGCATATAAAAATATCAGTAGCTACTCTTGACAAGGGAGAACGTAAATCACAACTATAAAGTTTTTGGTTAGGCTTCTTAAAACTATTAATTGCTAGGTCTTTATTTCCCCCCCTTTATAGTCCTCAGTTGTCAATAGAGGTGTTTTTGTTTCTTAATTGATTTCTAATCATTAGAATTTAGGGTAAATGAAAAAAGTCTTTTGCCATTGGAGAAAATTTATGCAATAGAAAAGTAACATTATTCCCTCATGCTTCAAGTGCTGCTTGAATTCAAGCCATTAGTAATCCCTTTGACAAAACCATGGAACAGAAAGGTCTAACAGGAACCTTTTGCTGAAATTATAACCTGAACAGCAGCAACCTGAACGCACACCGTATGTGCATATTACAGGAAAACTACTGCTATCACTCTGGATCACGTTAAAAGATGCGAAAGCCGTGTAAACAAAGGTTATCTACAGAGACCACACAATTGTTTTGTATAGAGAATTTAGAACCTCTTTGTAAGCCTGATTTTGATTATGATGCAGGCCTTTCAATTGCCACAAAACAGCTAACAGGAATAAACTAATGTTTTCTCTCAGTGAACTGAATCTGCTGCAAGCGACCTTGCCATTTCACTATTTTTTTTAAATGAGGGCTGAATATTATTTTATTAATTATGCCATGGCCTCTTTTACTGAAATTGCATTATTTGTTTTTTTTTGTTGACATTTTACATTTGTAAGCCAAAAAAAATTGTGTACACCTTTGAATGTCTATGAGTCATGTGTATTAGAGTAAATCTAATTTTGTAATACTACTTAACTGACTAAAAATCTTGAGGCACACAGAATATTTAATTGTCTGATGAATTACACTGTATGAGCTGCTCTAAAAATATTACTTCATAAAATATTAGTCTAGCAAACTAATAGTCATTTGCAGCAATTTCTACGGATAACCAATTACTGGAATGTCAGCACATACAAAATACATCACAGTAGAGCAACATTAAATAGTTTGGTGAACTACAGTGCTCAGCGTAAAAGATGAACAACACAGGAACGATTCAGGTTAAGCACTGACATCACTTACATGTGGTAGCCATCTGTGTAACAGTGAACATATCCTAAAATTAAAAAAAACCTATTCAAAGCTTAAAAGACTTCTGTAGCATACTGCTGGGATACTACCCACCCCCTCTTCAGTGTACGTAATACGCGCACTAGAAGAGTTACCTGGGGAATATAGGTTGCAGTATACTCAGTACATTGATGGTATTATACCTCTACTGCAGATACCAGATCCAGATGGTACAGATCTCAGTTTCCATATTCAGGATTTAAGTGTGGGTATGTTAGCTGGAGCCTACTCTAGAGAAGATCAAAGGAACACCAGTGGATGAGCTGGTGAGTGCAATACAAGTGTTTTGACATGAAGCAGCAAGTCATCCATTTGTCACTAGCTAACATGTGACAGAAACACTGTTAGAAATAGCAGGGATTTATTCACACCATGTATTTCAGAGGCTCATGCTGCCGGCAATGGAAGTAAAAGCCTCTAGGCAGGGGGAACTCGGTTCAGATTATCTTAAGTTTCACTCTAGCCTGAATGGATTCCTAGAAAAGCTTAACACTCTTCCCTGATCATACAGAAAGTTCAGGCTCCAACCTAAGTACCCAAAGTTAGACACCCAAAACATATGATGAAAACAATTTCTCCAGCTTCAAATAGGGGCTCTATTATGTGTTAATTTACACAAATATGAGTTGTAAAATACAGAAAGCGGAGAACTTTTCCATCTGGTTGTGTTTCAGCTGAGGGGTACTTTTGCTTAAGTTACAATTTAAGACCATGCTGGCTAAAATTTGGTTGAACACCAAGTCCGTAGGGTATTTAACTGAATTAAACTTTTTAAAAGTGAACCCTTAAAATGTTTCAGCTTATAAAATAACTAGCCTGCAAACTTACTTTGTATTTTGAAATTGCAGTTAGGCTCTTTTTTGCTAGTGCACCACCGCTGATATTAAATGTTTCATATTTCAAAATCAGACCTTCAGTTATACTGTTAAAACTGGAATTTAAGATTTTCTACAATCAAAATGATGTGCTTGTGTAACAAGCTCTGGAATTAGAGACACATCTTTCAATAACCAAAGAGTTTTAAAAATGAAAGATGCTGTTAAGAGGATTACACTACCAATACAGTTGTGATTGTACTGAGGCTTTTGAAAGTCCACGTATGCCTGCCAAGAGGAAGATTTTTTACTTCTTCAAGATGAACCAGATACAGTTATAATAGCATGATATTTTTATGTAGATTAGATATTCATAAGCAATTCTACTGGCCCTGCACAAAACAAGGAAAAGACAATTCATTCCACTGCTTATATTGATCTACATGGCTGAAAGAATGGAAGAAAATCCCCACTGCTACAGGAAGCAGATTTATATAACATGAATGTTGATTTTTCCTCTAATTTTTACATTTAGACTCACATTTAGAGATTAGTGACAAATTACAGAAACAAATATTAATATTTTAAAAATTCACTAGCTTAGCACAAACATGAAATAGAATGGCTTGTTCAGTGCACAACGTCATTTTTATAGAAAAAAGCAATACCAGTATCTTTTCTTCTTTTTATCCAATCAGTGATCTGCTGAGTTACTTAAAATTATTACAAATTGCCAGTCACAAAAGTGTGCCAATCAAGATAGGGCTATAACTGTGTTTGGATGTTCCCTCATTTGACTAATATTCCAGGTAGGACAATAAATACTGTCATCTCCAGTTGCCTTATGTAAGGAAAGACATTTTCAGGCTAGAAGCAAATTTATAGTATTTCTTGCAGTCAAAGGAAATCAATGACCAAATTTCAGATTGGAAAATTAATGGCCTCACTGGGAGAATTTCCCTGTTTTCCTCCTGTGCATTATAATTCAATATAAAAAAAATTACATCTTTCAGGTCAAGACTGTAGATGCAGAAATAGAGTTTCTTCTGGAATCTGGAAGTGAGCAATTCCAACTGTCTCTATTATGCTTTTAAAATATCCCTTTTAATTTTCTTTTAAGTTTTAATTTAAAAAATGTGCTCCATCCATTTCTGAAAAATAGATTAGTGGTGTAATCAGATTCAGAACCTAAAATGCAAAGCATATGCTCTCTGTTCAAAAGGTTGCTCTCAATTCAAACTAATGTCAAAACTTTGCTATTTAGAAAGTAAATTTCAACAACATTTGGTTTATGCTAGTATGTATACAGCCAGCTCTCAAAAATGCAGCTAAACAAAAAAGTCAATGAGAACATGAAAAAAAAGCAGCTCACTTAGGATATGAACATGATTTCTTAGTATTAAAAATATAAAGACTTTCCAGTATCTATTAATTTTCAAATGCTTTCCAAATTTTAGAGTTAGAGTAAAAAAAAGACC